GAACTACTGTCCCTCATGGAATTTCCATTAAAGTAAGGCAACAATGGCAACTGAGATCCAGAACACATCAATTCTGATCTAGAAGTTCATTAATGTCACACCAATACTCATCTGTCCATGTGAGGAAAAGCATGGTAGTGTTAGTAACTTCCAACTTGGGACGAGGAGGAGAAGCTGAAGGCATAGGGTAATTTATTTTTTTGGGTGTCTTTGTATCTTTTTTTATTCTTGCATTGAAAAAAAAAACCTTTTCTGTGTATATATATATATATATATATATATGCATATATATACACACACACATATGTTTTATATATATTATATGTAATATAAATATATAAGATATGATATATATCACATCTTATATATTGACCCATTGATGGACAGTTGAATTCTTTCCATAATTTGGATATTGTAGATAATACTGCATGTACCATTTGAATGAGTAGTTTTGTATTATTTTTGTAGATACTTAGTGCAATTGCTGGATAATAGAGTAGTCTATTTTTCGCTTTTTGAGGAAATTCCATACTGTTTTCCCGAGTGGCTGAACCAGTTTGCATTCCCTGAAACAGTGTAAGAAGGTTCCCTTTCCTCTGAACTTCCTCACCAACACCTGTTGTTTCCTGTGTTGTTGATTGTAGCTATTTTGACTGGCATGAGGGGATATGCCATTGTAGTTTTGATTTTTATTTGATGATGAGGAATGTTGAACATCTTTTCTTGTGTCTCTTGGTTATCTGTGTGTCTTCTTTGGAGAAATGGCTATTCATGTCTTCTGCCCATTCTTTAATTGGATTTTTCATTTTTTGAGTGTTGAGTTTTATGTTTTCTATATTTTGCATACTATCCCATTATCGTATATATGACCATATAGTTGTGGGTTCACTTCTGGGTTTTCTATTCTATTCCATTCATCTATGTATTTGTTTTTGTGTCATTACCATACTGCTTTGATCACTATAGCTTTGTAATATAACTTGAAGTCTGGAACTGTGATGCCTCCAGCTTTGCTTTTCTTTTTCATGGCTATTTTGGCTATTTGGGACCTTTTGTGGTTCCATACATATTTTAGGATAGTTTGTTCTTCTAACTCTTTGAAAAATACTGTTGGTGTTTTGGTAGGGATTGTATTAAATGTGTAGATTGCTTTGGGTAATATAGACATTTTAACAATATTTGTTCTTCCAATCCTAGAGCATGGAACGTCTTTTCATTTGATTATGTCATCCTAAATTTTTTCATCAGTATTTTATAGTTTTAAGAGTATAGGTTTTTAACCTCTGTAGTTAGGTTTACTCCTAGGCATGCTGTTGTTTTTTGGTGCAGTTGCAAATAGATTGATTCCTTAATTTCTCTTTCTGCTGCTTCATTATTGGTATATAGAGATGCAACGGATTTCTGTACATTAATTTTGTATCCTGTGACTATGAATTTGTGTATCAGTTCTAGCAATTTTTTGGTGGAGCCTTTCCTGTTTTCTGTATAGGGTATCAAGTCATATGCGAATAGTCAAAGTTTGACTTCTTCCATGCCAATTTGGAAAACTTCTGTTTTTTGTTTTTGTTTTGTTTTGTTTTTTGTCATATGATTGCTTAGAGATTCAGAATGTATAATTCTAATCTCAGGCTGATTTCATGGGTGATCAGAGTTCTTTGGTAGATAATCAGCTCACTTTAGGGGACCGGTTGAAATAGCACCTCCTACTTCTCCACCATCTTGTCTCCTGGATCTTGCTTTTTATCCAATCTGGTACCCTGTGGTTTTTTATTGGAGCAGTTAGGCCATTTATACTTAGAGTAACTATTGAAAGATAAGAATTTAGTGCATTGTATTACCTGTAATGTCCTTGTTTCTGTAGATTGTTGTTGCTTCTTTCTGGTCCGTGTTACTTTTGGGCTCTCTCTTTGCTTACAGGATCCTCTTTAATTAGAGATCACAAATTCTTTTAGTTTCTGTTTGTCCTGGAAGCTCTTTATCTGTCCTTCAATTCTGAATGACAGCCTTGCTGGAGAGAGTACTCTTGGCTTCATGTTTTTCTCACTTAGTGCCCTGAATATATTATGCCAGCCATTTCTGGCCTGCAAAGTCTCTATGAATAGGTCTGATGGCTGCCTAATGTTTCTACATCTCTAGGTTAAGAACCTCTTGTCTCAAGCTGGTTTCAGGATTTTCTCTTTATCTCTGAAATTGGCAAGATTCACTTTCTTTGTGTATTTAATAATTTATTCCCCCTTTTTTTCTCTGTTCTCTTTTCCAAATACCCAATAAACAGAACTTTGACATTCTGGACCAAATTATTTTCCCCACAAATTTTCTACCTTCTTTTCTGTCTGTATTTTACTTTCTGAAACTTCTCCATAACTCATCTGCCAACAGTCCTGATGATCTCTTTTTTTCAGCTATTGCTGAATTTATACAGTTTTATAAAATGTTGTTTTAAAGCTTTTTTTCTTTTGTTTTCCTGTTCTTTATTAAAATTTAATGGTGTTTTACTTAAAACTTAATGGTTTTTCACTCAGCATAATCTCCTCTAGTCCTGTCCATGTTGATATAAAAGTTGAGTATTCATCCTTTCTGATGGATGCATAATAATCCATTGTATATATGGGCCATATATTCTTTATCCATTCGTCTGTTGAAGGGCATCTTGGTTCTTTCTACTGTTTGGTGACTGTGGCCATTGCTGCTATGAACACGGGGGTAGAGATGGCCCTTCTTTTCACTACATCTGTATCTTTGGGGCAAATATCCAGTAATGCCATTGCAGGGTCATAGGGTAGCTCTATTTTTAATTTCTTAAGGAATCTCCACACTCTTTTCCAAAGTGGCTGCACCAACTTGCATTCCCACCAACAGTGTAAGAGCGTTCCCCTTTCTCCACATCCTCTCCAACACCTGTTGTTTACTGTCTTGTTAATTTTGGCCATTCTGACTGGTATAAGGTGGTATCTCAATGTGGTTTTGATTTGAATCTCCCTGATTGCTAATAATGAACATTTTTTCATGTGTCTGTTAGCCATTTGTATATCAACCATGTACCAATGAAATAGTTTAAAAAGTATGATTGGAGTATCTTCAACATAGAATTAGCTTAGGAGATTTATCTCAATGAAACATTTTAGAGCATCAGAATCTAGTGCATTAATCTCTACATTAGGGTTTGTCTTTCATTGGGTACCATCTATGGATGGTAACCATTAGCCTGGATTTAGAGACTCAGTTTTGGATTTTTGGTCTTCATCTTTGTGTTTATCAAATTCACTCTTCAATCATAGTCTACCTCAAGGTACTATAAATGCATTAATTAGATTAAGTATAAAGTTATTATCCAGTCCTGACTGAAATGATGAGGAGGTTCACACTCTTTTCAGTAGTTTGGCCACAATTTTTTGATTTATTCCTACATTACTTCACAACACTCTTCTTTAGAACAACTCAGGATGGAACATTTCTATGTTCTTACAGCATCTTGTTGTTATGTCCATGAATGTTTTCAAGTGGACCCTAGAGATTATCTGGCTCAATCTCCATATTTTATGGGGAAGGTGACTTGTGTGTTCTTGGAAGTTGATCATTTAGTTGAAGGCAACAGCAGTCTTGTCCAGTGCAAATGATTCAGGGTCTACTCTGATCCCTTTGTATTCCATTCCCACTGCCACTTCCCTAGGTCTCATTCAGTTTCTTCCAATTCCTGTAACAGTGTCTGTAGCCAGTTTCCTACTCTGGGCTTGGCTTTTCCAAGCTCTTTTATATACAAGCTATACAGAGAACTATCTTTGACTTTTAGGGGATGCTCAATTCTACTTCATTTTCAATCAGATGAAGTCTGAACTTTGAAATAAGGACATCAAGTGCAAACAGTATCTAATCATGGTGTATAACATGTTCCATACAATGTATTTGAGATAATCTAGTCTCTGGGTTTGGGCTAAAGAGAAAGAAAATAAAAAATCATCTTAATTGTTTTAGAAATATTTCTTCAGAAGAAAAAATAGACACATCCTAGCTAAAAAATAGGTGTGAAAATTATACAAAGTTTAAAGAATGAGAACATGGAAATGTTGGTTTTAAAGTAGATTATCAATGAAAAGATAACCTTGTAATTGATAGCACTAGTCCACCAGGAAAATGTTTAATTTTTTTTCATTAATAATGAATTAGAGAAGCAAATAAATTCTACCAACTTGAATCTTTGGAAGAATTTATAGAAATATGAAATAAGTCCACCCTTCTCTTCTACTGATATATACAAGCATTCTGTGGTCACAGCTTTTAACATAAATATGTTATGCACATCTGAGAGGCTGGGGCTAGAATAAATAACTTAAGAAAGAGGATCTGGTCAGCCTTAGGTTGCTGGGATTATTCTTTCTCCTTAGAAAATGGTCTAAGCCTGAGAATAATTCTCTTTCTCTCTAGCATGAGATTGATGAATACATATGTAGCTATACTAAGCACCAAGAACAGCATATAAGAGCACACCTAATGCAAAGTATATATATTCCATTGTGAAGGGTACTATGACCATTATTTCCTTGCACTAGTCTTGGAGGGAATGTAGACCCAAGAATTGGTACTATTTCCATCCTTTCCTTCTGAACAATAACATATTATACCTTCATCTATCATTTGAATTATCTAAATGCCTTTTGGTAAGTCATCATTAATTCTGCTGAGCCATGTTTATTGCTGAAGAGAAGTGGAATAAAAAGTGTGTAAATTATTAAATTTAGGAAACTTCAAGCACATGATAGATATCAGAGGGAAGACCCAAAAAATCAATTGTCATTCAAATGTGGAAAATTTGGAAGAAGATAGTTATGCACATCAAGGTAAAATGTAGCCTTGAAAAGTAGATTTCCGTTTTGCTAGGGATGTGCAGAGGTCATGTATGGTGGTCAGAGACAAGCACCAGAACTCTGTGGACTGCTATGTTGGCCAGAATGAGGACACAGTGTTCTCTAGGCCTTCCACTCTAAGGCCATGTGATTTTTTTTTTATCTTGATATTTTCATTCGGCAAATTGTTTCCCTCAGAGCCCGGTGGACCAGCTTGTTCCACAGAGTGTAGATGACAGGGTTGAGCAGTGGGTCACCACCATGTTCACAATGGCAGCCTCCCTGTTGGAGTCCAGCCTGTTCGTTTGCTTTGGTTTCACATATATGAACACACAGCTGCCGTACATCAGAGAGAGGACTCTGAGGTAAGAGGAGCAAGTGGAGAAAGCTTTCTTTTTCTCCTTGGCTGAGGGAAGTTGCATTATTGTGACTACTATGTTGCTGTATGCAATGATAGTTATGATAATGGATGTGAAAATGATAAACAAAGCAAGAATTAAGGCCAACATTTCAATAAACCTGGTGTCAGAACAGGAGAGATGAATCAAGGGGCCAAGTTCACAGAAAAAGTGGGGGATGACATGGGGTCCGCAGAAAGATAACAGGGAGACTTTTCCTAGCAGACCAGTGATGAGAGGGAAGGCCAAAGCGAAGCAGGCAGTGACCAGGAGGAAGCAAGTCTTTGGGTTTATGATGGTCGGGTAATGCAGAGGCTTGCAAATGGCCACATACCGATCCAGAGACATCACTGCTATGAGGAAGAATGCTGCTGCTCCCAGAAATAAAAAGACAAAAGCTTGTATGAAACAGGCAGGAAAGGAAATGGTTTGCCTGCCTAAGAGAAAGATGACCAGCAACTTAGGAATAACAGCACTTACGACACCACACTCCACAAAGGAGAAAATGCTGAGGAACAAGTACATAGATGTGTGGAGCCAGGAGTCGGCACAGGTGATGGTGACTATGATAGCATTGCCTGCAGTGGATGCCAGGTATGCCAGCAAGTGCACCAGGAAGAGGACATTTCCCAGGTGTTGGATGGTAGGGAACCCCTCCAAGGTGAATTCTTGGACAGATGTTCTATTCTCCATTTCTGTGAGCATCTCTTTCCATAGCAGTATCACTGCCGGACTAACCTACAGTAAAGACATTGGGGAGCACAATTGTTTTAGTGGGGCATATGATTAAGTTGTTTGCCTATCTAAGAAGGTGGTTAGGCTGATAGCAATGTGGTTTAGGCAGTTGGTTCTAGAGTCAGAAAGGCCAGATTTCAATACTAGTTCATTAATGAGTTCCAACTTCTGAAAGATGAGTCATCTTTGGAAAGGTATTTAAGCTTTATGGACTTCACTTCCAACCTCTGTAGAACAAAGATGATAGGATCTACCTATTCTTGTTCTTGTGAGAATTAAGATAAAGCATATTACTCACTTGGCATATGCCAACATTTCCTGTGTTTTCCTCTAGGTCTAATTGTAATCATTATTAACAGAATGCTTAAATAGAACATCATAAGTAGGCAGAGGTATTGACATTTTCATAGTTATACCATGTTATTGTTTTTAATGATATTATCAATTTTAAGTAAACATAACCGTAAGTTTAGTAATATTCCCTTTGAATATCCCCTTAATACCGTAACACATTCTATGGTCCATGTTGTCATCATCATGATGTGTTGACATCTTGAGCTTGTTCTATGCTGGTCACTGAAATTCAGTATTTCTGTTACTCATCACAATAATCAGGAGACCCTACTATAGAAGCAGAAACTGAGGCTTAGAGAGTTCCAGACAGCTTAGGTCACCTAGCTGACTTTAGCCTGATTGCCAGATCCAGAACCCCTGGTGCTTCCAAATGCAGTGTCAAAACATTTTAAACTGGACCAAATCTATTGTTGTTCTTTCAACCTTAAGAAAAAGATTCATTTTATTTATCTTAATTGTTTCTATCCTTAGGTAGTATTGCTGATGAGTTTTTGACCTGTGGAATGACATGGGGCTTAGAGAGGATCTGTGTTAGTATAGGCATTTTACAGAAGAGACTGGAAACCAGAGTTAATGAGGACTGCTCAACAATAGCTAAACTGTAAATCTAGGATTTACCACCCAGCTTCCGGTTTTATGTTGGCCAGTGATGGAGGTGGGAGTGCTAATATTTCCTGGATTAACCCACTTGAGTGGATATGCTGGGCACCTGGCACTCTTACATTCTCTCTTACATCAAAGCTCAGTGCTTTTTTTTTTTTTTTTTTTTTTCCTTCCTTCAGTCCTCCCAATCAGTAACTTCTCTCAGGTGGTTTTGGCTCTAGCATTTCAATACTGGGCTAAAGGTTGTGAGGAATGTGTCTCTCTTATTAACCCACCATGGATCAGGTCCTCTGAAGGGCTGCTCATGAGAGCAAACTGCTCATCCCTGAGTGGTACAGTCTAAAGGAGCCTCTTCTTTTGTTCCTGTTGACCCCAGTAAGCCCACCAAGTTACCAGGATGCCTGAGGCCAGGCATGTACAGAAGAGTCACCACGTGGGAGGCAGGGCTTCCTTCCTTCACAACTATTATCTTCTAAGAAATCAAGAGCTTGCTCTGGGCTGAGGGGAATGAGAAGGAAACTCATTTGTCACAGCTTGTTGTTCCAGAGTGGGTATGAATATGCATCCCATGCTGCCAGTGTTCTGAATGACAAAAGCCCTGTTTCAGTAGCCCAGAAGTTTCATAGCACAAGTCTACACAGAAACCTGGGCCACTGAAACCCCAGAAAGGAGCAGACAGATAAAACAATCACATTTCATAGCCCCCAATTCTGGGCTAGAGCTGAACTTCCACTAGTTAGGATTCTGATGAAATGTCTGGCTCTGCTTCCCCCAGAGGGTAGAAGCCCACCTACCATGCCACAACCCTGTCACCTCCTATACTGGTTATACACAGCAGACAGCTTATAGGTTTAGCCTTGGGTGTTGCTGAGACAAGGGTTTTCTGTGGCAGTGCTCCATGTTATGGGCACACCTGCTCCAAATACCTTCTCTTACACTATGCTCCTCCATCTTATTGTTACCTTTCCTTGTGAGTAGCATCCTTGTTCTACTGGATCAACAGTGAGAAGGTGCTGACAAGCAAATCTGAGGCTCTGTGGTATTTTCCCAATGAGACTGTAGAGTCACCAAGCAGGATGGACCCAGCCAGTATGCAGAGAGTACATGCTCCCAAACCTTATTAGATGCTGAAGAGACAGGGGCAGAAAGTAAAGGGGTAGCAGGTGTCCTGGGGGTAATTAATTGGTCACTGTTGAGAACAATTACCTGGTGATACCCTTATATTTATCTTTCCACTGTGGTGAAACTGATTCCCAGATGTCTGCATTGTTCTCTGCCAAGATTTTTCAAGGAAATTATATGACAATTTCCCAAGGGTTTCTAAAATCCCAAGTTGAACATTACTACTGATTTAAGGTAATAATTCAAAAGACAATTTTCTACATGTGATGTGTGCCCTGAGGCCAGAGTATTGCTAAAATAATAGATTTTTATGGTGAGAAAGAGCTGGATCACACCCTAGCTATCATCAACCTTTTGGGAAGATAATGGGGAAATCCACCTTTCTTGGTCAATCATTCTTCATGCTTCCACCAACGTTTTGATTCCTTTCATTGCATATTTTCATCTGTAGAATATTTTTGTTGTGCTCCCCAGTCTCCTTGAAAATGAAAGCAAACACTTCATTTTTTGCTGTGGAGAAGCAAAGGGGGAAGACTAGGTGGTTTCTGTAACATCTCTAACTTGGTAGGCCTCCCTCTCTTTAAAAGAATCTGTGGTATAGATCCTCAGATTTTTTTCTAGATACAGAAGAGGAAGAGATGTGAACCTGAGGGTGGAGAAGCTGTACCCATTGCAACCACTGGGTTGGAGAGGTGCTTCTTCTCCTGGGTATCTCAGCTCGGCTTCAGTGGCAGGAGTGACCCATTTTTCTGTGGTCTTTGGCTTCCCATTAACCTCAGAGAAGGGGACTAAACTCCCAAGGTGAATTTGTAGGCAACCCTGGGGAATATGGTAGCATGTGGAAATTTGTTCTACCTGACTCTGTCTTCACTAGTATTGATCTTGGTAGGTCAAGGGAAATATAGGAAATTTCACAGGTATTCATGTGGGTTGCACCCTCTCACAAATAGACAAAAACATTTTTATAATGTCTGTCCATCTATATACTCTGTTTTCAATCCAGGCCAAACTTGGACCTCATGGTTATTTTCTCACTTAGAAGCAAGGAAAAATATAGATAAATGGAGGAAAATTATAGAAGCTAGAGCAGCATGAGACTATCCATTTTAATGCTCAGGTAAAGGCTCATTTGCATGGGGTTTTAATTTTACTCAGTGCCAGCTTTGTGGTGCAGAAATACCTGTCACACCTGAGTGAGTCCCAATGCCAACATGATGTGGGCATGTGGGAGGAGAGGGCCTGGCATGTGGTTTCACGGAAAGGTTTACTACAAAGGGGATACTCAAAGAAATGGGTTGAACTAAGTATATATTGCATCTAATGGAAGGGATGGTGAGCTAGCATAAGGAAATGTTTCTAATTGTCCTTGATCTATAGCTTTTTTCTGGATAGTTGTCTTACTGCTCTGCAGTGATCCCCCTCCCACTTCTCTATGTTATTTTGATATAGTCCTAATGGTTTATTTTTGCTTTTGTTTTACTTGCCTCAGGAGACACATCTAGAAAGAAGTTGCTATAGCCAATGTCAAAGATGTTACTGCCTGGGCTCTCTTGTAGGTTTTTTCTGGTTTCATGTTTCACATTTAGGTCTTTAATCCATTTTCAGGTAATTTTTGTGTATGATATAAGAATGTGGTCCAGTTTCACTGTTTTGCATATAGTTCTCCAGTTTTTCCAACACCATTTGTTGAAGAGACTGTCTTTTTCCCTTTTGATATTTTGTTCTCTTTTTCAAAATTAATTGACCACATAGTTGTATTTCACTTCTGTTTTCTATTCTGTTCCATTGATTTATGTGTATATTTTTCTGCCAGTACCATACTGTATTGATCACTACAGTTTTGTAATACAACTTGAAGTCTGGAATTGTAATGCCTCCAGGTTTGCTTTTCCATCTCAAGAATGCTTTGTCTATTTGGAGTTTTCTGTGGTTCCATAGAAATTTTAGGATTGTTTGTTGTAGCTCTGTGAAAATGCTGTTGGTATTTTGATAGGGATTGAATTTAATGTCTAGATTATCTTGGGTAGGATAGCCATTTTAACAGTATCTGTATTTTCACAGTATCTTCACTTTAACAGTATCTTCTGATCCATGTGCATGGAATGTCTTTCCATTTGTGTCATCTTCAATTTCTTTCATCAGCGTATTATAGTTTTCAGAATATGGTTCTTTCACTCCTTTGGTTAGGTTTGTTCCTAGGTATCTCATTGTTTTTTTGGTGCAGTTGTAAATGAGATTATTCCTTGATATCTTTTTCTGCTATTTCATTATTAATATATAGAAATGCACCAGCTCTACCCATTGATAATGTACTCTGAATAAACTGAATTGGTTAATCAGTTCTAGCAATTATTGGTGGAGTGGTTTGGCTTTTCTACATAGAGTATCATGTCATGTGCAGATAGTGAAAGTTTGGCATTTTCTTTCTGATCTGGACACTTTTTATTTCTTTTTGTTGTGGGATTGCTATAGGTAGGACTTCTAGTAATATTGTGAATAAAAGTGGTGAGAGTGGACAGTCTTGTCCTGTTCCTGACCGTAGAGGAAAAGCTTAGGTTTTCCCCATTGAGGATGATATTCACTATGGGTTTTTGATATATGGCCTTTATGATGTTGAGGTACATTCCCTCTAACCTACGTTATTCAGGAGTTTTATCATGAATGGGCGTTATACTTTGTCAAATGCTTTTTGTACATCTATTATTAAGGTCATATGGCTCTTATCCTTTCTTTTATTAATGTGGTGTATCATGTTGATTGATTTTTGAATATTGAACCACCCTTGCAGCCCAAGAATCACTGCCCCTTCATCATGGTGAATGATTCATGGTGAGTGTACTCTTGGATTTGGTTTGTTAGTATTTTGTTGAGAATTTTTGTGTCCATGTTC